TAAAAAGCATGAAAATACTCTAGTACATTTGCTACACACATGTTTTGAAGAATGCGGAGCTAGTCCTGTAACCTAAAAAAGTAGTTTTTTGTCAAATGATTTTGAAATATTAATGTTATTTAAAATTATATATTTAACTCAAATGCTATTTTTTGTACTAATACCTTGCGCGCAGCTGGTATGTCACATGCAATTTGAATCAACGCACAATGAAACATACGCCCAATTAGGTATTGAGAAGTTTTAAATAGCTGGCTGCTCCAAAGTTGTTTTAACACATTTACTATAGACTGAAGATAATTTTGCAATTGATTTGTATCGGGTTCCTTTGGACCAGGTATAATGCCGACGAGAATGAGATTTTCACTTCGATATCTTATATGCCTTGAAAAATTAAGAATTGTCATGTATATTGGTGCACAACTTCGTTTAATATGACTATATAGAGTGTACTAGTCAAGGTTAAAAGCTAATCCAATTCGAATATTAGTACTGCCTCCTACAAAAAAAGGTTGTCCTCGCTCATCTAAAAATTCTTTCCAAATGTTCCTGTTATAGATATCACCTAATACTCCCTTTTCAACTTGTCGTTTAAATGGTGAATCTATTAATTTTTTATTTGATTCATTTGCTAATATTGACGCAATTCTTGTGATAATAGATTGGTAAGGATAAATTGCTAAAGGCTATAATAAATGTTAAATATTAAGTTCTAATTATTGAAATTAGTGGTATCACATGATGTCCAAGATAATTGTACTTTACTTAACTTTATATTTAAGCTTCCCTCCCGATCTTCTAACAGCTTTTGTTAACACCTTTTCACATTTAAGACATTTTGTATGTCCTGAAGTTTTTAAAGGCAAATCCGTGGGTAAATAAAGAGAATAGCAATGTAAGCATACAGTATATTTAAGAACAGAGTTTGGTTGCGCAATAAGTTTTTTAACATAATGTTGACTTTTTGGGAAAGTTTGAAATTGAAAAATGTCTAAATACGTTAATACTTGATAAAAGAAGGTAATTAAAGTTATAATTCCAGTTTTTGTAATCATAAATGATCGCTAAAACAAGAATAACCAAAGAATAATCCATTGTATCATGTGATTTTCATTCAAAAGTGGTGGATTGTATAAAAATCGTACAAGATTATATGATGGTTCCAGAATAATACCATATAGATTCAAATAATTAAAATTTAATAATGACGATGATGACATAATTGTATCATACTCTTCAACAATTTCATCTTCAACATCGGTTTCGTCGTTAGTATCTTCTTCAATGTCTAGATTAATATCGTGTTCATTTGGATCGGAATTACTATCTTCATTTTGATCGGAATTATCATCTTCGCTTCGATTGGAATTACCATCTTCGCTTTGATTTGAATTACTGTTACTTTGATTAAAATTATCTATTGGAAAATACCAGTACGATCACATGAAATGTGTAAGGGATGGTTTGATTCATGTTTTTTTGCTGTGGCCTATGCTGAATTGAAAAAAATCCTATTTTAGAAGGGTAATGATTTTCATTTATCCATTTTCAG